TTATCTGCAAAGAAAGATATTTTCAACATTTCTTGAATGCCTTTCTTTTTTTTTTTTTTTTTTTTGAGAAGTTTTTGCTATAGGGCATGTGTGCTCACCAGAAAGATAGTGAGACAGTAAGAAAGAAATCACCTTCCTGGGGGATGGCCATGCCAGAATCCATTCTCCTTCATTCTCCTCTAGGTATCTTGGGCACATACACACATGCACCCAGTGTGAGTTTAAGTCACCGGATATGGGACTCTAACTGAGGTGGACTACATGGGAGTCCAGCAACATACACTAACTGCTGGTCCCCTGTTTGAATGTCTTTTATGTTTGTTTTTTTTTTTTTCTAATTGCATTGTCTAAGACTTGCAGCACTACATTGAAAAGGAGTGGAAAAAGTGGGCAGCCTTGTGTTATACCAGTTTTTGGTGGGAAAATTTTCAGCTTTTCCCCATTCATTATAATGTTAGCCATAAGTTTATGGATTCTATTGTGTTAATAAATGACCCTCTTAAGTCAATTTGCTAAGAATCTTAATCAGAAAAGAATGTATTTTGTCAAATGCTTTTTCCCCATCAATTGAAATGATCATATTTTTGTCTTTCTTTCTGTTAACATAGTTTTGCGTATGTAGAAACACACTTGCATCACTGGAATAAAGCTTACTTGGTTATGATGGATAATATTTTTTATGTGTTGTTCGGTATTATTTGTAAGTATCATGTTGAGAATTTTTGCATCTACATTCATCAGAAATGTTCGTCTGTAGTTTTCCTTTTTTGTCTTCTGCTTTGGGAATGAGTATTATGGGGGCTTCATAAAATGAATTTGGGAGGTTTGGGACCTGGACCTTTCTTTTTTGGTAGGTTTCTTATGAACCTATTCTTGGTTTGTTATGGGCCTATTCAGGCTGTCTATGTCCTCCTTGTTCAATCTGGGCAGACTATATACATCCAGAAAGTTGTCCATCTCATCCATGTTCTCTTTTTCTTTTTTTTTTTTTCCCACATACTCATAGTATCCTCTGATGATGGTTTCTATTTCTATTGTGTCTATTGTAATATTGCCTGATTCATTTCACATTTGGTTTATCTGTTTTCTTTCTCTCTTCTTCTTAATAAATCTTGCTAATGGTGAGCTGATCTTGTTAATCTTTTCAAAGAACCAGCTTTTGCTTTCATTTATTTTCTGTATAGTTTGTTTATTTTCTGTTTCATTTATTTCTGCTTGAATCTTTATTATTTCTTTTTTCAAGATGTTTTTTCCCCCTAATTCCCTGAGGTATATTAGGTTGTCTGTTTGCCACCTTTCCATTCTATTCTTATGTGGACTAGTTGCTTTGACATTTCATCTTATGACTGCTTTTTTGTTGTTGTTGTTTGTTTGTTTGTTTGTTTTTGTCCCATAGATAATGGAAACATGTGTACTCATTATTTATTTCCATAAATCTTTTGATTTCAGATCTAATTTCTTTAGTAGTTGAGAAGTCATTCAGGCATAGGTTGGTAAGTTTCCATGTCTTTTTGTATTTTTAAGGATTTTTCTTCAAATTAATGTTGAGTTTAATTTCATGACTATCACCAAAGATGCTAGATGTAGTTTATATGCCCTTGAATCTGTAAACACTAGATTTTTGACCTATTATATGGTCAGTCTTTGAGAAAGTTCTATGCAGTTGTGAGGAAATTTTATATTTTTTGGTTTTAGGGTGAAAAGTTCTATAAATATCTGTTAAGTCCATTTTATTTATAGTATCATTTAGGTCCTATATATCTCTGCTTATATTTTGTCTAGAAGATCTGTCTAAAGGAGATAATGGGGTGTTGAGATCCCTGAAATGATAGTGCTGCAATCTATCATTCTTTTTAGCTCTAGTAGTCTTTTTTTTCAGATATTTAGGTGCTCCTGAGTTGGGTGCATAGATATTTATAAGTGTTAAGTCTTCTTGATGAATCAACCCTCACTACTATATATTGACCCTTTTTGTGTCATCTTACAGTTTTTATCTTAAAGCCTATATTGCCAGAAATCAGTATCACTACTCTAGACTTTTTAATTTCTTTTTGTGTGAAATACCTTTTTCCAGCCTTTCACTTTTAGTCTATGTATATCTTTATCCATAAGGTGTGTTTCTTTTTTTTTTTTTTTTTAAGGTGTGTTTCTTGTAGGCAACATATAGAGGGTCTCTGGGTTTATTTATTTTTTATCCATTCAGCCAGTCTGTGTCTCTTAATTGGAGAATTTAACCCATTAATAGTCAATGTTATTATCGATATATCCAGACCTGTTCCTATTATTAAGTGAGCCATTTTCTTTGTTGTTTTTGAGCCATGGGTTCGGGGACTCGAACTGCGGCTGACTATGTGGGAGTCCAGCGACATAGCCATTACGCTAACTGCTGATCCAAAGGTGTGTTTCTTGTATGCAACAGATGGAGAGTTTCTGTGTTTTTTTTTTTTTTCCCCATCCATTCAACCAGTCGTGTCTCTTGATTGGAAAATTTAATCCATTAACATTCAATGTTATTATCGATATTTCCAGAAGTGTTCCTATCATTAAGTGAGCCATTTTCTTGGTTGTTTTATGTTCTTTTATATCTCTCTACCTCACTTTAGACTTCCTGGTATAGTAAATCCTTCAGAACTTCTTGAAGAGCTGATCTAGAATTAGCAAATCATTTTATACCCCTTTAAAAATATTTATTTTACATTCATGCTTTGAACATCATCACAGCATACAACATGTGATTTCCCTCCAGAATCCTACAGAATACACTGTAAACTGGTTTAATCAGACATGTTATCATAAGCAAGTAATTTTCCATTTCTTGTTTCTTAAATATGTATATATTTCACCCCCTTATTTCTTACTCTCTGTCACTTCTTACCCTCCTCCCTCACTGTTTCTGATATCTGAAGTTACTTCCCATTCCTTTTTCCCCCCCTACATTTTATTGATTTATGTTCTGAAGGGAGTACTATATAAGGAAAACTAAATACAGACACACAGAAGTAAGAGTTCAAAAATAACTAAGAAAATGGCTAACTTAATAGTAAGGACTAATCTGAAGTTGAATATTATATTCAGAACTTAAATGATAACTTTTTTTATGTTTTGTTTACCTGAGAATTTTTTTTTATCTTTTTTTCCCATATGAAGCCTAATCTTGCCAAATATAGTTACCCTGGGTAAAATTGTTTTTCATTTAACATTTTGAATATATTTTACCATTCTTTCCTTGGCTGCATTTTTAAATTTTTTTTTAAATTAAATAATTTTTTTTTACATTTTTAAAAATACATTCAATCACATTTTTTAGCTTACAAGGTGATCATTTCAATATGTGAACATTTCTCCCCAGTCTAGTTGATCAAAATATAACAATACTACCTCCCTGTCTCAACAATGCTGTCTCTGTATCCCTCCTCCAAATGTCCACATTGTTTCTGATGAGAATTGTGATGTTAACCTGATAGGATAAATTGTGTAAGTAACTTGATGTTTCTCTCTTGCTTATTTTAGTATCTTGTCTTTGTTTGTGGTTTTGGCCAATCTGGCTATGATGTGTCTTGGAGAAGATCTTATTGAATTGATTCTATTTGGGGTCCTTTATATTTCTTTGTTCTGGACCTTTGAATGTACCTCTGGGTTTAGAAAGTTTTATTCCAGGATTTCACTATTATCAATGCATTTGTTATTTTCTTCACCTTCTGGGATACCAGTTACCTGGGAGTTTGGGCCCTTAATAATAACTAGTGTTTCTTGTGTATTGTCCTCATTTTTCTTGGTTATTTTACCAATCTTTTTGTTTTTTTTTTCTAGGTCAGAGTTTTTGTCTTCTACATTTGAGATTCAATATTCTGCATGATATAATCTTAATTTAATACTTTCAAGGGAGGTTTTAATTTTCTTTACTACAGTTTGCATCTCTAACAATTATTTTTGATTCTTTTTTATGGTATCTCTTCCTTCTTTCAAATTGTGAAAGGACTTCCTCCTCTCTTGGAGTTGATTGTCTCTTTTCCCTTGCATTTTATTTAGTTTTGTCTCTATACGTATTCTCAATTGTTTATCTAACATTTCCATGAGTTCCCATGTGATATTTATGGATGATGAAGAATTGATATTTTCACTTGGGTAGAGATATTTTTTTCATTGCTCATATTTCGTGTGCCTCTGACATGGTTTCTAGTCATCCAGTGATTTATACATTTCTCCCTAAGTTTTTTTTTTTTTTAAGTTAAATCTGAGCATTCAAAGGTATTCAGGAGCATGTGATTGGCAATATCTCTGTTGCTCTACCTCCCTGATGCTCAGTGTGCATTCTGCACAGTGGTCATTGCACTTGGATGATTCAGTCTTTATGGTTTCTAGAAAGTAGGTGTGCCTGGGACTGACTGAGCTGCTGAACTTTAATTGAGGAAGACAGAGGGGATCTTCTTCTGAAAATACTGTGGTCTTAGAATTCACAGGCTTGTGGCAGGTGATTAACCACAGACTCTGTATCTTCTTCTCCCTGGTGCTCTTGAGAGTTCAAAAATAAGTCAGGTAGGGAATAAACCACAGGTCTCTGCAGCAAAGCCTTTCAGTCATGGATAACTTACAGTACAACAAGGCCCATATTGGAATAGGTTTCCCAAAGGAGGGGGGAAGGGCAGCCAATGTCCTCTCAAAGTCCAAAATTGATATTTATAAATGTTATATCTTCTTGATGAATTAGCCCTTTTAGTACTACATAATGTCCTTTGTCTCTTCTTACAGTTTTTTCTTAATGTCTATTTTGTCTGATATCAGTATTGTGACTTCAGTCTCTTTTTTTTATTTTTTTTGATTCCTATTTGCTTGGACTGTCTTTTCCCAGTTATTGACTTTCAGTCTATGTATTTCTTTGTGAGGTGCATAACTTGTAGGCAGCACATACAGGGATCCTGCTATTTTATTTATTCAGTCGTGTATACCCTTTTATTGGAAAATTTAATCTATTAACATTCAAAGTTGTTTTTATATGTGACAAAAATATGGAACACTTCATGAATTTGCATATAATCCTGTGCAGGTGCTGTGCTAATTTTCTCTTTATCATACCAACTTTACTATATGTGTTTCTAAAATGAAAAAATGTGACTTATATTTAATGGCTCAGGGAATACTGGAGAGCCACAGGCTCTCCCAAAATTGTCACACTGCAGCCACCATGCTTTGAATTCACACCATTCAGTTTTTAACTTTTAATTTTCTAGGATACAGTGTGCTGACTGCTTCCTGAATTATGTCCACAGGGAAACTTGAGTTATGCTGTTAACATGTTTTTCATTGTGAGTGAATTCCACCACCGCTCCCAGGTTTGCCTTTGGAACCTTGGGCCCTCCAACTACACTGCTCCAACTACTTCCTAAGGCTCATCTGGTGGGAGACTTGAGTTCTTGTGTCAGCATGCCTCTAATTGTTGGTTCAGCCTTATGCTCCAGTTAGCCTTTGTAACCTGGGGCCCTTCAACCTGCACACTGAGTTGTAATGTATATAACATATTACTTAGGCAATGTAATGAATTACAATAGGTGTTTCACTAAGTCATATCTCCTTACCTCATCTCCAGCTCATCAGGAGCTAAAAAGTCGGTTGAGGATTCAACCACTGGAAGCTACCAATCCCAACTTTATTTTCTCTGATTTCAAAGAGACAACCGTCTGATAGGAACACAACTTATATCTAGGGCTGATCTTCCCTCTTCAGACACTACACAATACACTCCAATAAATAGGAAGAAATAAATACTTCATCAGTTTTCCAAAACCAGTTCAGAGACAGAAGAAACATGAGAAAACAAGAAAATAACTCTTCCCTAAAGGGAAAATAATGTCACATCAAGAAAAATAAACAGGGAACCAGCAGTTAGCGTAATGGCTATGTCGTTGGACTTCCACGTAGTCGACCGCGGTTCGTGTCCTGGACCTGGTGGCTTAAAACTCACACCGGGCGTGTGTGCGTGCGTGCCCAAGATCCCGAGAGGAGAATGGAGGAGAAGGGATTGCAGCGTGACCATCCCCCCTGGGGGGTGATTTCTCACTTTCTGTCTCTATGTCTCTCTCTGTCTGTCTGGCGAGCACACTCCCTACAGTGAAAATCTCTCCAAAAAAATAAAAAAAGAAAAAAAGAAAAAGAAAAAAAAGAAAAAAAAAGAAAAACAAACACAAAAGAATTCACAGTAATGTCAGAAAAATAATTCTAAATACTCATTATGATAAAATTCAATGAAATGCAAGAGAAAACAGACAATCAATTCCAAGAAATGTAAAAATAAATTTAGAACATGATAGGGGAATCTAATAAAAAGATAAAAGAGATAGACACACTATAAAAAAATCAAACTGACTTCTAGAAATGAATAATAAAACATGATAAATTAAAATCTTCCTCAAAAGCATTAACAGCAAGTTGGACCATGCTGAAGAAAGAATTTCTGACTTTAAAAACAACATATACCAAAACACACATACATACACACATAATGAGGATAACATATGGGAAATTTTAGACTCCATGAAACACCCAAATATCTGTATAATGAATATTCCAGAAGGTGAATACGCTAATAAAGACAAGAAAAACTTCTTCTATAAAAATTATAGAAAAACTTATCAAATATGAATAAATAGGAGAAATTCAGAAACCAGGAAAAAGAAATAACTCCAAATAGAATCAATGTAAGATTTCGTTCAAGTCACAACATAGCCAGATCAGTAAAATTTAAAAATAAAAAAAAATTCTAAAAATGGCAAAAGATTATCAAGATAATTGCAAAGGCTAATTTATTATGCTCAGATTAAACCTCTCAACTGAAAGTATGGGAGCAAGGAAAGAATGGGAAGATAATCAGAATGGTAAAATAAAGCAATTTTACCAATAATACAACACTTGGCAAGATCATCCTTCAAATGGGAAGAACAAATAAAATCAGTCCAAGATAATTACCAGAAATCTACCAGCTCTTTAAGAACTACTAAAGCAAATACTATATATAAATAACTAAAGAGAAAAACAGAAATAAAAGAACAAAAATCAACCAAGGAAATGGCTAAAAAAATGATATAGATGAATCCACAAATAATGATAACATTGAATGTCAATGAATTAAATTCTTCAATAAACATACACAGTCTGAATGAATGAAAAAAAAAACTATATACGGTTTACAAGAAACACATCTCACTGACAAAGAAAGACATAGACTGAAGTTGCAAAGCTGGAAAATGGTATTCTATGAAAATGGAAACCAAAGAAAGGCTGAAGTAATAATATTGATATTAGACAAAATAGACCAAGATAAAAGCTGGAGTAAGAAAGAAGTACACTATATAGTACCAAACGGGATAATTCAACAAGAATATATAACACTTACAAATATCAATGCACTCAACATTGAAACACCCAAATATCTAGACACATTGCTAGGTCTACAGAGAGAGATAGACTGCAGCACATTAATTATTGGGGATCTGAACCTTCACTGTCTGAGATTATCTAAATCAAAAATAAAGAGATACAAGATCTAAAAGCTGTCTTAAATCAAATGGAGTTCGATTTTGTCATAAATCAAGTGGACAAACATATATAGAAAATTTCAGATATTTTAATAATGGTCAGGCCTTCTGCAGGTCCCACAGTCACGGATGAAGGAGCAGGTTCAAAAACCTCTCCCACATAGTCCTAAAAGTACCTATACAACTCCCAGAGACAGTAGGAATTGAGAATGTTTGACTTAGTCTTCCATTGCCAACCAGGATTTCTGTAGGTCCCAGAGACACAATTCATAAACTTCTTATTACCTTAAGGTCAGCCTTCTCAAGTCAGGGCACAGTCATATAGGAATTAAGAAATTTTGGAAGCAAGATGTAAATTATGTGGAGCTAACATATATCACAGAGAAGTGCAAAAGCATACTGCTTCAGAAATTTACCCCAAATAAACAGGGGAAATGTGTACCTCACCTGATGCTTAAAAATCAAAGCAGAGCCTCAAAATACAGAAGAAAATCAGGAAGTATACATCCCTCAATAGAACACAGCAACACCTCACCAACACTAGGAAAAAGAAAATCACAGAAATGACAGAAATAAGAGTATTCACTCAAACAAAACTGAATGAGTTGCAAAAGAAAATAGACTAGAAACTATAAGAGATTTGAAAGTCATTTCATCACATGAAGGAGAAATTTTATTAAAAATTGACGACCAAAAAAAATCAGATAGAACTTGTGGAGATGAAGAATATAATAGAAGAAAAAAATTTCCCTTGAGGGACTTGCAGATGGTGTAATGGTTATTTCACTGGACTCCCATGTAGTCGACTATAGTTCAAGTCCTGGAAGCAGCAGCTTCAAACTCACATTGGGCACATGTGCATGCATGCCCAAAATCCAGAGAGAATGGAGGAAAAAATTGTGGCATAGCCATTCTCCTTTGGGGAGTGATTTCTCACTTTCTGTCTCTCTGTTTCTCTTTATGTCTCTGACTAGCACACGCCCCTTATAGAAAAAAAATCCCTCATTAAAAAAAAAAAAAACTCTCTTGAAAGCATCAATAGTATATTGGATGATGCAGAAGAAAGAATCTTTGGTCTGGGAGACAAAGGCTCTGACTTTATCCAAATCATTAGAAAGAATGAAATAATAACCCCCCCAAATAAGATTAACATACATGAAATACTAGATACCATTAAAAATCCAAATATCCATGGAATTTCCAGAAAGGGGCAAATCTAGTAAAGACATAGAAAAATCTTCAATGAAATAACATTTGGAAATGTTCTAAATTTAGAGAAACATAAAGACATACAACTCCAGGAAGCACAAAGGACACAAGAAAAGATCAACATGAGAAGATCCTCTCCATGCCATAACTTAATCAAATTTGTAAAAATCATAGACACGGGCAAGATTCCAAAAGTGGCAAGACAGAAGATTCAAGTTAGAGACAAAGATTATATCTCAGGTTAACATCAAATCTCTTCACTAAAACAATGCAGGCAAGGAAAGAAATAGAAGACTTGTTCAAAACTTGAAGTGAAAATAATTTCAATGAAGAATATTATACTCATCAAGATGATTATTCAAATGTGAAGAAGAAGTAAAAACATTCTCAGATAAACAAGAACATCAAAGAATTTGTAAAAACTCGACTAGCTTTTCAAAAAGTACTAAAGGGAATGGAATATCAGGGAAAGTAAAGAGAGACAAATAGAAATAAAAGAACACAAAACAAAGGAAATGACAGTGAAAAGTCCCCAAATAACAATAACATTGAATGTTAATGGATTAAATTCTCCAGTCAAAAGATTAAGACTAGCTGAATAAATAAAAAAGTCAGGAATGTTTTCTTACTTGCATCCAAGAAGAACATCTCTTTAATAAAGACATACATAGACTGGAAGTGAATGGCAGAAAAAGATACTCCATGCAAATAAAAATGAAAATAAAAACGAAAGGAGTCACAATACTGATATTAGATAAAATAGATTTTAAAACAGGCTAGCAGATGGCATGGAAGTTAAGGCCATTGAACTCCCACATGGCCAAACATGGTCAAGTCCCAGACCTGTTGGCTTGTTTCCTCACTTTCTCTTTCACTATCTCTCCTGTCCCTCTCTGGTTAATTTTAAATAAATAAATAAATAAATAAAGTTAAATAAAATATTTTTAAAAGTAGATATTAACAAAATCTATAAGATGAGACAAAGATGGACACTATATATTGCTAAAAAGGGAAAATCCACCAAGAATATATAAAGCTTATAAATATCTATACACTGAACCTTACATCACCCACATGAAATAAAGATTGCTATATCTAAAGAAAAAGATATACTGCAATGCAATAATTATTAGCAATCACAATTCCACTGTTTCCTCTGGAAAGATCATCTAGATAAAAAATAGATAGAGGATTAAAAATATATCATCAGTTAAATGGACCTGACAGACATCTATAAAACATTTTGTCCAACATCCACAAAAACTACCACCAAATTTCATATTACTGACTGCATTTTCCCATGGAAACTAAGAAAATGAAGATCATGAATTTTGAAGATACCTTCAATTTGAAATGAAATCTGAAGGT